TTTTTACCTAATTTTGGCATAGCTGCAATCTAAAATACATATTTTTCCTTCTTCATTCAACCTTGACGTAACCAAACGCCCAAACCTTGGTGTTCACTGCGAACCAAACATAATTTTTGACATGGCTAAATTTTCTCCAAACTCAAGAAAATGCGGCTGTAGCATGCAGAATTGCAGATCAACAACACCGTATATGTGTATAATAATTAAATTAATGTATGTATACTAATTCCTTTTCTTACGAGTGGTGAACAATAATTAATTCCTTGTTATAATTCATACTGCCATGGACCCATCCGCACCAAAAAAAGAGCTCTCGCCGCCGCCGCTGACTCGCTCTGTCTGTCCGGGTTGAGCCAGGCCACACAAAACAGATAAACCAAAAAATACCCAGCCACGGCATCTCCAACATCCTCCTTCTCGGGCTCCGGCCAGGTACGTCGTCGAGCTCCGGCCAGCCGCGATCTCCCTTCTGGGTTTTACTACACGGGAGATTTGGCGGTCCGGTCCGAGGGGGGAACGGGGAGGAGGGTGGAAGATTGGGGTTTCCTCGCTCTTTAATAATAACTTGGGGGCAGATTTGATCTCTGATTTTGCTCTACCCGACCGACCTCAGGTGGAGGAGAAGGATGCTGATGAACTTCAGGGAATGGATATCGTACCGCCTCGGGTCCTCGCTGCTGTCCGCCAGGCCCTTCGCGCTCTCCGCTGGCGCCGATGCCGCCGCCTCCGAGGGTGATGCTCATGGTGCGCTCCCTTCTCCCTGGTGATTGTTGTTTTTGTTTTCAACAACGGCGTTGCCTATGGTTATATAAACTTGGAATCTTCGTTTTCAATGAAAATGCCATCTTGTAGTCTAGTCTGCTGCTGCTGAAAATATCCTTGATGTTGTTAGGCTTAAAACCTAGGGTCCCCTCAGTTATACGATACGGAATCGGATAAATTAACTAGATGGCCTATTGCAAGTCATTCCCATCACACGGGTCTAATTAGCGGACCCGTCAATTATGAGTGCAGGATAGGCTAGTGTGCTTGCAATCAGACTATGAGAGTTTTCGCCTTTCCAGCATATATGCTTGGAGTAACCTTTTGGTTACTGCTATTAGGCTTTTAGCATGTTACATGATTTTTCTTTTGAGATAGGGCTTTTATTATTAGGATTTTAGCATGTTATAGGAATAATTAGGGCTAACAGACTAAGCCTTATCATTTTCACCATTGGAATGCATTGATGTTTCAGCTTCGATTGTTGTTTATGTTACTGCAATGCAACCCCATGATGTGCTCTTAACACACGCCCCCCCCCCCCCCCCCCCACCACACCCCCAAAAAAAAATGTTGCTTCTTATTTTCTGCCAGCTACATCCTGACATCCTTTACTGTCCTCAAAGACCCTCTTGCTACTAATCGTTTTCAATTTCATCACATGTGGGCATATTTCAAATTCAATGATACATTTTTTTATCCTCCTGTTCATAATGTTTTAAATGTAGCTTGCTCACTGAATGCTATCGTTCAGGTTCAACACACAATGGCTTTGTAGATACTGTTACTGCCAGTACATTTTCTTCTAATGATACGCCGGCGTCAGAGGTCACAACCAACTCTAATACTGGTGCAATTTATTCTGGTACTGTTCAACAAGATGATGATAACAAGAAGTCAGATCCACTCATGAAAGTCGAGGCGCTTCAAATCAAGTTTCTGCGGTTAGTATACAGGACTGGAGTGTCTCCCAGTGCTGATGTAGTTGCACAGGTTCTGTACAGGTTGCAGCTTGCAAATTTGATTAAAGCGAGTGAATCAGATGCCAGGAGAACAAACCTTGCTATCAACAAAGCCAGGGTTATAGCAGCACAGCAAGAAGCACCGGATGGGCCTGATCTGGACGTCTCGTTGCGAATCCTTCTTCTGGGAAAGACTGGTGTGGGAAAGAGTGCCACGATAAATTCAATTTTCGATGAGAGGAAGGTGGCTACTGATGCTCTGGTTCCTGCTACTCATAGGATAAAGAAGATTGAAGGAACAATCAAAGGAATAAGAGTCACAGTTATCGACACACCTGGTCTGATGCCTCATTACCATGGCCAAAGGAGGAACAGGAAGATTCTGAATTCTGTCAAGCGCTTCATTAAGCGATCCCCACCTGATATCGTGTTATACTTTGAGCGGTTGGACCATATTAACAGCAGATACAGTGATTACCCACTGCTGAAGCTTATGACTGACATGTTGGGCTCTTCGATGTGGTTCAACACTGTCCTTGTAATGACTCACTCTTCCTCATCTCCTCCTGAAGGACCAGATGGTTACCCTTTGGAATATGACACTTACACGCGTTACTGCAAGAATGTGGTACAGCGTCATATCCAGGCTGCAGTTTCCAACACACAGTTGGATAATCCTTTTGTGCTGATAGACAATCATCCAATGTGCAGACGAAACACCAAGGGTGAAAGGGTCTTACCAAATGGACAGGTATGGGTATCAGAACTGCTGCTGCTGTGTGGGGCAACCAAGTTGCTGACAGAAGCAAATTCCTTGCTTAAGTTTCAAGATAGCTTCCTACTGTCACAAGCAAACACCAGGCTGCCTTCGCTGCCTCATCTTCTTTCTTCACTCCTTAAGCCTCATTCTTCATCAAGTTCAGATGCCATTGACAGTGAATTGACAGAAATGTCAGATGAGGAGGATGAATATGATCAACTACCACCCTTCCGCATTCTAAAGAAATCTGAATATGAAAATTTGACAAATGAACAGAAGTCTGCATATCTTGATGAACTGGACTACCGTGAGACTTTGTACCTAAAGAAACAGTGGAAGGAGGGAATCAGAAGAAAAAGGCTTACTGAAGCTCAGAATGACGAAGTTGGTGATGATTATGAAGAGAGTGCATCCCCAGAGATTGTGCACATGTCAGATATGGACATTCCACTAAGTTTTGACTCTGATTATCCTGTACATCGTTACCGTCACATTATAACTGATGATCAGTTGTTTAGACCAGTTTTGGATCCCCAAGGATGGGACCATGATATTGGGTTCGATGCCATCAATTTTGAAGCATCTCAAGAGTTGAAAAAGAATGTCTCTGGAGCAATTACAGGACAGATGAGAAAGGACAAGGAAGACATGTATATCCATTCAGAATGTTCAGTAAGTTACAATGCTCAGAGAGGCTGCTCCTTGATGGGGGGTATGGATATGCAAACGGCAAGCAGAGATTTGGTCTGTACCGTTCACGGGGATGCCAAGTTCCGCAATCTGCCTTGGAACACTACTGGAGGTGGCATTTCTGTTACTAAGTTTGGCAACAAGTACTTTGCTGGTGCCAAGTTAGAAGACTCTGTTACCATTGGGAAACGGGTTAAACTGGTAGCCAACGCCAGTAGAATGGCTGGCTGTGGACAGGTGGCACATGGAGGTGGTGTGGAGATAACAGCAAGGGGGAAAGATTACCCTGTGAGGGAAGAGAGTGTCACGGCAGCAGTCTCCGCTTTGTCGTTTGAAAAGGAAACTGTAATTGGGGCCAACCTTCAGTCAGACTTCCGAGTGGGCCGTGGATCAAAAATATCAGTCAGCGCTAACCTAAATAGTAGAAATATAGGCAAGCTCAGCATCAGGACTAGCACGTCAGACCACACTGAGATAGCTCTGATAGCAGTTGTGTCATTGATCCAGTTCATTCTTAGGGGAAGATCGGCAGCAGCTGATAAAGGTGAGCAAGAGAGTGATGAAACCTATTTGGATGACTAAATAACAAGTAGAAGGAAAAGACAATGATTGCATGCTTTAGATGTTCTTCATCATCAGGATTTGCTGCAATTATGTTAATCTAAGGCGGTCGTCAAATCTAGGGTTCCAACTTGTACAGACTCCTTGTATATGAGTTATTATGAGTATAATGTATGAAGGCAGCATTTTCCATGAAGAGAGCTCCTCCTTCTGCCTATAGGCGATTTTCTAGGTTTTAAGGATGTAATCAGATGCAGTTTTGAGTTTTGACATCACATAAAGTTGATTTACTTTATTACTTGCATTGGAATGTTTATTTATACCTAGTTTCTGTTTCCCAATTTTAAAAGATCTCACTGATAAGATATTTCACTGATCAGAGACAAATATACAACCTTTATCTGTAAGGAGGAAACTGAAACATCACATGGTTTTTGTTTTCAAATTGGTTGATGCTTGGTTTGCTTACAAGATGTGAAAACTAGAGCACGCGTATGAGGAAAACAACCTGATTGAACAACAGAAGCTTATTTACTTCGATGACTTGTGGCGTCTCGAAGTGCACTTTTCTTGCAAACCAAAATCCTCTGAAAACATTTTGACAAACAATTTAGCAATCTTATAACTGGGCTTGCCGAGGCGAACATTTGGCAGTACCAAACTTTCAGTGTGACTCAGCCGACCACATCGGCCTTTCAAGTCTCAAACTATTGCGAGTACATTAAGATAGTTTAATTCCCACTGGTAAATCGACAGCTGCATGAAAAATCCATACAAAAGGAATGCATAGAACACAAATATCTCAGTGCGCAAAAAAAAAAAAACATATAAACGACCATCCTCGGATGCAGGTCAATCCTACAACTAGCTGAATCAGACACTTTGACGATCGGAGCAAACATAATCAGTAATCATCAGGGGCATAAGGTAAACCATCACCTGCATTCAAACCAAAGCGCAGGGCCATAGAGGAAATATAACTAGATATAACACTCCAGTTGTAGTTTGACCCATATGCCATCACAGGCAAATCGCTTAGTGTTCAGATGCTCGAACCACACACTACGACTGAGATGCTACTACGGCGACCATATAACTCGGTGCTGGTCATGTCTCTATACTACTCGGTGCTGCCACCACAGGGACACCATGGTTTAGCTACATCTACAGAATGCCTAAGCATTCTTCTATGGATAAGCAGGAGCATCTACGAGATTGCTCCTCCAAGCTGATGAGGACCTGAGGTAGCCGCTGAAGCCCCTTTACGAGCTGGAGGCCTCAAAGGTATCTGGCTTATGCTTCTCCATCAGGCCCGTTAGGGCTGCGTCGAGCTCCTTCTCCAGCTCCAGCTCCTTCTCCGTGTACTCTTTCTTGAGCCTCATCTTCTTCTCGTTGTGGACTTTGATCAACTCATCCCGCTCAGCTTCAAACTTTGCCACATCCTTGACATGGCAATCAATGAACTTCTGTACATGTTCCTTCCTGCACAAGACATGGATGGAGTGAGAATAGGAACAGCAACTAACATGCGCAATGAAACTATGATGTCTAGATGCCTTTAAGGGCATATATCCCTACGCACTTTGCCGTTGGATTCGCACACATCTCAATGCGAATCCAACGGCACAGTGCGTAGGAGCATATGCCCTTATAAGGGCAAAAAGAAAAAAACCACCTTCACTACTACGGCGACCATATAACTCGGTGCTGGTCATGTCTCCATATCACGAGCGCTGCCACAGGGACACCATGGTTTAGCAACATCCAGAGAGATTGCTCCTCCAAGCTGAGGACCTAAGGTAAGCGATTAGCCGCTCAAGCCTCTTTACGAGCTGAAGGCCTCAAAGGTATCTGGCTTATGCTTTTTATAGGTTTTCTAGGTTTTAAGTATGTAATCAAAAGCGAGTTTGAGTTTTGACATCACATAAAGTTTATTTACTTTACTACTTGCATAGGAATGTTTATTTATTTACCTAGCTTCTGTTTCCCAATTTTAAAGATCTCACTGATAAGAGAATTCACTGCTAAAGACAAAGGTACAACCTTTATCTGTATAACAAGGAAATTGTAAGATCACATGGCTTTTGTTGACATATAATTTAGTTGATGCTTTGTTTGCTTGCAAGATGCGAAAACCATGAAGAGCACGCGTTTGAGGGGGGAAAAGGCATTTGATTCTTTGAAGACCACCTGATCGAACCACATAAGCTTATTTACTTCTTTTTTTTTAGGGAATGCCATGTGGCACAATTTATTGATTTGCAAACATGGTTACATCATTTACCAAACTCTCTAAAATGAAACTAGGGGGTTCATCGACCCAAATACAAGAGAGTTTCAAAGAAATAGCTTCCCTAGCTAGTACATGCGCCACCTGGTTTGATTCCCGATCACAATGTTCAATAGAGATGGACTGGAACTCCTGCCAAAGATGATTACATTCGTCGTATATAGGTGCCCCAGCTGCCGCCAAAAAACCCCCTTGTTGCATTGTTTCAACCACTTCCAAACAATCTGATTGGATTATAATTCCGTTGCACCCAATGTGCTGTACCAATAGCAGACCATCTTTTACTGCCATTATCTCAGCCGATGGAGCATCAACCACATGCTCAAAATAAGAGTGTGAAGCTGCTATGAATGAGCCACTAGAATCTCTGATTACAGCATCGGTGCTTCCACTTCCATTCTCTGGTCTGAAACTTACATCAACATTGATCAGTAGCCGTGCCCGATGAAGACACACATACAGACACACGTGTAACTCGTGTTGTTACCGTGCGTGGTACGCGCACGTTGCAAACATTGATCAGTAGCTTACCTTCTGGAGGTTTCTTCCACACTTCTTTCCGAATAGGCGACTTCTTCATAGCTCTCTTATAATTCGTCGTCAAGGTGGCAATAGATAAGGCCGAACGTGTTGGATGTTGGATAGTTTCTCCATGGACAAACTTCCTCCGCTCCCACCAGATGAACCACCCACCTGTTAAAATGAGTTTGGCCAGCCCAACTTGATTCAGCTTCTCTACAGGTTTTGATCTATTGATCAACTCAGCCACCAAGATCGATCCTGATCTATCTACTTCCAAAATCCTTTCTATCTCCTGCCAAACACCCAGCTTCAACCAAATATCTTTTGCTCTGTTACAAGTAAACAAGAGGTGTTTAGTATCTTCACATCCCCCATGACATGCTGGACAACTACTTGAATTCTCAATGTGGCGATTTGTAAAAATTCCCCGGCATGGTATGAGTCCGTGCAACACCCTCCAACCAAAGATCTTAATTTTGCCGGGAACTGCCAATTGCCATAAGTGTGACCATACTTCATCTCCCACTCCACTAGCATGTTCGCCGAGCCTATTTGCACCAAATTTATGCATCCACTGCTGATTATTTACTTTGATTATTACTTGTGTCGTCTCGGATTCAAACTTTTCATGCAAAAAATAAATCCAGTGAAAACTTTTTTAAAATAATTTGGCACTCTTATAACTGGGCCTTGCCGAGGCGAACATTTTGGCAGCTTGGTTTCCAAACTTTCATGTGACTCAGTGTAAGAAAAATAGACCTAGGCTCATTTACTTTGGATTTTGGTGTTTGATGACCAACACAACCAAATTGGACTAATGAATTTATAAATAATTGTTTTGTAGTCCAATAGGGTGCAAGACGTGACTTGGACGAAGGCGACATGATAATCCGATGATCAACACCTTAAGCAAGATCTTAGAAGCATAAGAAAAGATCTAAGATATCAAGCAAAGTACAAGCACGAAGATAGGAACCAAGCCGTAAGCAAGATCGAGAAGAAACGAGCTCACAGAGGTGACCAGACGCTGGACCGGACGCTGGAAGAAAGCAACCGGACGCTCCGATCAAGTGGCTCGGCAACAGACGTCAGCAGTAGCGACCGGACGCTGGCGGCAAACCGACCGGACGCAGGACAACAGAGTCCGGTCGAGTACAGAGAGGTTCCAGAGCGACGAAACTGCAACCGGACGCGTCCGGTGGCATGTGACCGGACGCTGGCAGCATCCGATCAATTGATCGCGACTCTAATGATCGGGACGACCGGACGCGTCCGGTCAAGACGTGATCAGCGTCCGGTCAGTAGCAGAAAAGTGGAACTTCGCCCCCAACGGCTACTTTCTCAGTGAGGCTTATAAATACAACCCCAACCGGTCAAATGAGATGTGTGGAGCAGAGAAAACATACCAAGGGTGTTGATACACCATTTTACTGATCTCCACTTGTATAGTGCTTAGTGATTCATTAAGTGATTAGCGTAGGTGCTTTGCGAAGTGCTTAGGTTGATTAGACCACCGCTTATGCGCTTGCTCTAGGTTTAGGCCTAGTGTTTAATGAGGTTTGCATACCTCTTACCACTTGGTGCTTGCGCACACCATTGTTGTACATCGGAGGGGCTTGTTGTAACACCCCAGGTGTTTGCCTTCCACATTTGCACTTGCATCTCATGGACATGAGCATCATTCATTCATTCACAAGCTTATATCACATGAAACATGATTTCGAAACATTGCAACATGTTGTATATTTCATGTGTGTTGTTTCTTTTATGAAATGTAAAGTGTGCAACACTTAAGTGCAACATGTGCCACTCACTTAGTGAAACAAGGTTAGTTAATACCATGCAACAAGATCATGAAACATATGAAACATGGCCTTGAAACAAAAGTAACCCTTCACTTGTTCTTCCTTGTTTCAATGCCTGTGATGCTTGGTTCTTGTGTGACCAATGTAGGGTGTGGCTAATTATTCTCCTAAGAACCTTAGTTATACTTAGAATGTCATTTGGAACATTGTTCATGTTGATCATTTTGCCTAATTAGGTTTCCAAGTCATGGTTGACCAATTTGGACCCCTAGAGCTCTTGTGTTTGACTATTTAAAAAGTGTAGCTTAGGATGGTTGCATGTATGAGCAACTTAAAGCAAAGTTGTAGAGAATTATATAAGGAACAAAAGTTATTTTATAACCATCTCATGAAAATATGCAGAACATGCTCAAAAATGGCCCACAAGTCAGTTTTGAGGGCTGTTTGGAAACTCAGAAAATTTCTAAGTCAAAAACCAGTTTTCAGTTTCATTGGCTCAACTTTGGGGATGATTTTACTTATGATTCTTTGGGAATTAGGTCTTGGTCTTTTAATAGGAATTGTAGACTATACGAAGGGCTACAATTTTCATTTAGAATGTTTTCACTAATGACCAACGGATTAGGAGAATGAGGGTCATCAAGTAACGCTGTCAGGCCTGTCGGGTTCACTGAAACGATGCTACAGTAGCCCGACCAGCAGCAGGACTTCACCACCGCGTGGCGCCGCGCGTCGCCGACGGCCTGACCGGCCAGGCCACGTCGGGCCTGAGCTCGGCAATTGAAGCCCCAACACGCCACCGAGAGCCCCCTGTGCCACATTTCGTTTCTTCGCCTTCTCCTTCGCTTCCCACCGCAGCTGAAGCGCAGCGACGCCCGCCATTGCTGCCGAGCGAGCTTCGCCGTCGCCGAGCTCACGCACCACCGCAAAAACATGAACTCTGTCTTCACCACAGCTCCGCCGTGTCCTCCTCTACCTTCTCCACCTCCTAGCTGCGCCGTTCGTGCTTTGGTAAGGTCACAGCGACCATTCCAGCCGTCACCGCCATGGGCGTGACCTTGCCGGAGCTGAGGCCGCCGTGGCAGGGTAGCTAGGAATCTTCCCGTCCCCTTTTCTTTGTCGTGTTAGCACCGTGGCGACCTCATGTAGCTCACACCATGCTCGGTTGAGCCGGCCATGGTTTGGCGTCGGCGGCAGCTCGCACCGGAGCTCTGCCGTGCCGCCATCATCGGCGATGAGCCACCTCCGCTAGGTCGTAGGTCGTGCCACTAGCACCAATCGACTCACCGCATCACGTAGATCACGTAGGTGTCCTCGGTGTCGCCGGAGGAGTCGCCGTCGGCGAGTTCCACCATCGCCGCGCCGCCGAAGCCGCCTCCCCTGTTTTCATCTCGCTGACCGGTGGGGTCGGCTGACACCCGGGTCCCACACGGCAGTGGCTGTAGTTCATAGGGATAGTTCAAAAATTCTAGTTTTTGTGCTATTTTGTAAATTTCGTAACTCCAAATTGGTAGATCCAAATTGGGTGGTTTCAATTTTGTTAGACTCATAGTGAAGTGTAGTATTTAGGAAAAATATGATATGAGCACTTGTAGTAGAGTTTATGGAAGAATTAAATTGAAACTTTAAATGTATTTTTAAATGCATGCAAACTTGTTTAAATCATATCTTAAGTTTCTGTGATCCAAAATTATGAAATTTTGTGGGTAAGCTAGTCTTGTATAGTAGAAGCTCTAGTTAAAATTTGAGAGTCATTGCAAGTGTAGTTTTTGAGTTATAGATTTTCCTTTTATCATTGGTAGATACTTGTGTGAATTTTTGTAAATTTTCTAGGAATCCTATGGCCATGAAACTTGGTAGGTAGTATCTTAGTACCTTAAGGATGCTAGGAAAAATATGAAATCTGTTGCTTGACACTTTTTACTAAGGTTTTCTAATTATGCCATTTTAA